ATAGGGCTGTAGAAGATCAGAGATGTAAGCTGGTGTCAGCCCATGCAAAGCTCTAAAACTCAAAACCAGGATCTTAAAATATAGTATGAATTCAACAGGAAGCCAGTGTAACTGAAATAGCAACAGACCACATGTACCTTTCACCACAGTCGGAGGAAGACTCTCTACTCGGATGTTTGTAGCTGCCTCCAAAGGCCGAGCAGTCAGTCCTTGTTTCTTCATCTTTGTGCTGGTCTGACTTACAGAAAGGAATCTCTCCACATCTGCAAAATAATCCAGATTAATGCTTTGAGACTGAAACATGATGAGTGAGAAGTGCTGGATTACCACATATCATCATGTTCTTAATGAATGAAGCTGTATGGATTAGGGTTGGTCCTTGTTTCAAAACGCATAGACTACATTATTTATTTACCATATTTAATAATCCTCCTTTATTGGAGACAGATATGCTGTCATTTTATGCTGTTTCTGTTCTTTGCAATAGATCCTGATTCAAGATTAGAATCCAGGTTATAATGAATAAGAGAATGAATGATTGCACTGGTTGTGTTCACAGAAAAATATTAAATGAGCTCCTGCATGCTGTGATCATATTTTGTTTGTAGACGACTTTATGTTGTATGTAAAGCAACAAAGATGTTGAGATGCAGTGGCAGCAAACAGAATGGTGATAAAGGAAAGCAGTGATAAGTTTCTCTGCTCAAAGAGGAATATTGTGTCTGTTGACTCATTTGTGTTCATTCATTCATTTACATTATTGAAATCTCAAAGTACTAAATATTTAGACAGTTTAGTCAGGTTTAAAATTAGACTCAAAGGTTAACCTAAAGGGGATTTTGGATGTTTGTCCTTGTATTGCCTTGTTGTGTTTGTGTATGTGGAAACATCCAGCTGTTTGCTTCCTACCTGCAGGGCTGCTGAAGGTGACCACAGCTTTGTTGGATTCCAGGATCCTCTCCATGCTGTAGCCGTTCTCATCCAACCCAAAGATGTTCTCCACCAGCATGGAGAGCAGATCAGTGGACATGTTGTATGTGACGTTTTCCAAAACCACCGCACAGCTCTGAGACGACTCTGAGTCTGAGAGAAACACACAAACCTGATCAAAGAAAGTCTCTGTGAGCAGTGAGGGAAGGAGGCTTTTATTCGGTCTGTTAATCCTGAAACTTTACTTTCAGCAGCATTTCTCTTTCTTTAATTGGAATGGGGAGGGGGGGGGGGATTTGAGGCCGTTTGCTTGAACTTTCTATCAGACTTACAAGAATTATTAACTTCCACTATTAAAATGGGCAAGGTCATCATTGTTCGAGATTTCAACATTAATATGCATGACTTAACAAATAGTACCACTAGGGAGTTCCTGAACATTATGAACTCTTTCAATTTTGTTCAGAATGTAGCAGGGCCTACTCATACTGCTGCAAGCGCTTTATTGATGACTCTATCATTTCTAAGTTTTCCTGTCTTGTAATTTTAAAACTTCTTCTAACAAGGTTGACCTTCTAACTAATTATTTTAATGAACACTGTCTTGCTATTCTCAATCAGGTTGCTCCTTTCAAAATCAGTCATTGCTCTGTTAGTTCCCACACACCATGGTTAAATAATCAAACCCGTGGTCCTCGACGCTCCTGTCGAAAATCAGAGCATCTGTGGAAGTCCACTGGTCTGATTGTCCGTCGTCAACACTTCAAAGAACTTCTTCACTTATATAGTGAGTCAGTCAAAGAGGCCAGATCGTTTTACTTCAATAATCTTATAAATCGTCACAAAAATAATTCAGGAGTTCTATTTGATACCATGAGCAGTATTGTCTCTCCGCCACCCCAGCATGCTCTGTTACTTTCTGATGACGATTGTAATACTTTCCTCAGTTACTTCGTAAATAAGGTGATGGACAGAAGGAATGGACCATCTCCCCAAGTGCTACCATTTATGAAGATACCCCTTGCTGTCTTGGGTCATTTACCTTTTCTCCAATCACACTGTTGTGGATGTTTTCCATTTAAATAAAGCCTGCAGACAAGCGGCGAGCGGTAGCTAACATTCTTTAACCAAAACGCAAAAAAACCCCAGAAAACTAAGCTTGGTGGAGAGCCTACGTGGGGCAGACGGTCAGCGAAGTCTCACTGAGCCTAGCATAGCTCTCAGTTAAATACCTTCTCCCCTTCTTTCCCCCAGTCAAGTCTGTCCCGTATTCAGTAAGTGAAAATAAAATAAACAATAAAAGTTGAATCAAATGGACCATTACGGCAAGGCTGGGATGGTCAATTTGGTAAAGTAAATCTGTTGGGCATCTTTCTTTGCCTTTAGACAACAATTCTGATAGCAAAAGAGCCAAACGGGACAGGCAGAAAGAAAAAAAAAATACTCTAAGTGACTCTTGAGTGTGCTTCCTGTCACTCTGAAACACTTCTATGACCTGTCCGGCAGTCTTTTCCTCCATGCTGTCACTTCCTGGCTGCAGATGATTGAATGGGGCTGACAGACGGTGATATCAGGCAAACGACTCACATTTAAAAAAAATAAAAGGACAGGAAGTGCCCAGAAGAAGGAAGAGAGAAAAAAGAAAAAAAAATACCTTCTCCAGGAACAAAAGGCAGTACACAGCTGTGTGTGTGTGTGTGTGTGTGTGTGTGTATATGTATGTACCGTATGTATATACAGATAGACTGTGTTCCACCTTATTTTAAACATGCAGAAGTAACTCTATTAAAAAACAGAATTTAGATCCTAGCTCCACTAGTAATTATTGACCTATTTCAAAATTGCCATTTTTAAGTAAATTACTAGAAGAAATTGCTGAAAATCAGTTCAGGTCCCTATTATGTAAATTACGTATTTATGACCCTTTTCAGTCTGGCTTTCAAAAGGAGCACTCTATGGAGACCGCTGTCTTAAAAGTCTATAATGATCTATTAACGGCATCTGATGGTGAATGGCCTGTATTTGTATAGCGCTTTACTAGTCCTTAAGGACCCCAAAGTGCTTTACACATCCAGTCATCCACACATTCACACACACATTCACACACTGGTGATGGCAGCTACATTGTAGCCACAGCCACCCTGGGGCGCACTGACAGAGGCCAACATCTGATGCAGGGATTTGTTCTGTGATCATTTTACTTGATCTTAGCGCAGCCTTTGATACCATCGACCACAAAATTCTACTTAACAGGTTTAAGGACATGCCAGGAGTTAGCTGTGCTCGCCCGCTCTATTGAGCCTTGTGGTGGTCAGGGCTATCTAGACTGACAAGTGGGACAGAATGTCACCTCTCCACTGGGCAGGGAGTCTAAGATTGTCTAAATTGGAGTCTGTTCTATACCAAATGCAGAAAAATTGTTTTAAGAAAGCAATTAAGTTCGTGTTCCAAAAAATATGATTGTTTGCTTGCAGGACAACAGGAGAGATGAGTCCTCCGTCACAGATGGTGTGGTCAGTGAAGATGGTCGCCTGCAGGTTCAAGCTCATTGCATCTCCAACCCACATCCACTGCCACTGTACTGAAGGGAAGTTAAAGACTTTCTTCCGCACTTAAATTTGGATCACCTATATCAATGGCAATCATTCAGGCAGTAATGCCTGGACTGGAAACAAGCCATCCTTAAAATATTACAACATTCCAGCTCCTGTGTTGAAATGAAAAACTTGTTGTTTAAATTAGAGACTGCACTTGTGACAGAACAATAAATATATTTTATTTCAGTTATATAAGTAATGTAAGTACAAAACAAAGTTTTGGTAGGCCTAAACTTTTCAGAATAATTAAATCTGAGACTTTGTTTCATTCTAAGATTATAACAGTGATGGCAATATAATTGTTTGTTGTTCAGCAGAACAATGTCCAGTATGTTGGCTGTTATACTTTGTTGTGTTTGAAAATACATACTCTCACCCCAACCGGTCACAGCAGATGGCCCCGCCCCTCCCTGAGCCTGGTTCTGCTGGAGGTTTCTTCCTGTTAAAAGGGAGTTTTTCCTTCCCACTGTTGCCAAAGTGCTTGCTCATAGGGGGTCATATGATTGTTGGGTTTTTCTCTGTATCTATGAAGCGCCTTGAGGCGACTTTTGTTGTGATTTGGCGCTATATAAATAAAATTGAATTAAAAGTTGGGCTGATTTTAACATCATTCCAAAAAGTGTTGTTAATTATTTTTAATCATATTCAGGTTACCACAAATTGTTTTTTCATTTAGTTGAGTTTTGAGTTCTGGGAACTAAAGAGGCTGTACAGTGTACTCAAAATGGGTAAGTTGCCATAGCTTAATCATCTTAGGTAAAACGTTACTGAATTATTTTTTGGGTTTTTTTGAGGCAACGAGTTTACATAGTTTTTTTTTTTTTTTTGAGTTCTGTGAACTAATTAGATTTTACAATGCATGACAAGCGTATGTTGAGGCGAACTGAAGAGGAGAGGGACAGACGTCTCTCACGGAGTCCTTTAGTGCTGCAGGCAGTCAAGGTGTTCAAATAGCACAACTTCACTGTTTTTATTTCTATATGATGAACTCTGCATTAAGTGATAAGAACAAGTTATCGTATGTCCTGTAATCATTATGATGCTATAATTTGAGATACAATAAATAAGATTTTGTACAAAGTATCGTATCGGATCAGTATCATCAATACCACCCTGAATATTACTTGGTATCGGAAAGGAAATCAGTGGTATCGCACATCACTACTTTTCTGTTCAAACAAGCCTTTTGTTAATCTATGTATTTTATATTCTTCACATTATTTAACTTACACAATGTAAAAGGTGAAGTGTATAATGTCTATTGATTGTACTGTTTATTTTAATCTTTGTACAGGGCTTTGTGACTGCCTGTCTGTGAAAAGCGCTTAATAAATAAACTTTATTTACTTACTTCATTACCTCATGAACAAATAAAGAGCTGACACTATATAATGTTGTGTTCTGCTGAAAATGTTACAAGTCAGCTGTTTCACACAGATTACCGGTGGAATTTTTTTTTTTTATAATCCCCTGGCTAAATGATGCACTCCACCTGAGTCTCAATCCTCAGGACCTCACACAGTCCCCAACAAATCTATCAGGAATGTATTTCTATTCATTAAAATTATATCGATTTTTCTTTGGCATCCTCTAACAGATCTTAACTACCTTTTTTTTTTTCAGACAGAAACATGTAAAACCTCTGCTTACACTATATTATTGTCATCTGACATCAATCGCTCCTTTGTTCCTCATCAGATGTGTTCAATTCTGAGCAGCCAATTGTTGCTGCTATTGGCAGGTAATTAAGAAAATGAATTAACTGCATCTCTGTATATAAAATAGCACAAGATAAGTACCTTTTACCACAGTCAAAGGAGGACTCTCCACTCGGATGTTTGTAGCTGCCTCCAAAGGCCGAGCAGTCAGTCCTTGTTTCTTCATCTTTGTGCTGGTCTGACTTACAGAGAGGAATCTCTCCACATCTGCAAAATAATCCAGATTAATCCTTTCAGACTGAAACAGTTTCAGAGGATGAGAGAAAAGAGCTGGGCTGTAAACTGTTATATAGACATGTTTGCAGAAATAAATGAAGCACCCAATGTATGTCTAAATTTCTTAATTTCAATTTATTGGAGACAGACCTGCTGTTGTTGTGTGCTGTTCTTTGTAATGGGTCCTGATTCAATGTTAGAATATAGTTTTAATAAATAACAGAAGGAATGGTTGTACTGGTAGTGTTCACAGAAAAATATTAAATCAGGTCCTACGTGTTGTGTTCTTATTTTATATGTAGATGATGAGTTCCCTGCTCGAAGAGGAATATTGTGTCTGTTGACTCATTTGTGTTCATTCATTCATTTACATTACTGAAATCTCAAAGTACTAAATATTTAGACATCAAAAAGAGGACTCATTCATCAACTACACAATGTGTGTGGAAAAAATATCTGAATATGGGCTCTTCTCTGCACCTTTCCAGATCAGATCTATGACTGTTGTATAAAGTCAGGTTTAAAATTAGACTCAAAGGTTAACCTAAAGGGGATTTTGGATGTTTGTCCTTGTATTGCCTTGTTGTGTTTGTGTATGTGGAAACATCCAGCTGTTTGCTTCCTACCTGCAGGGCTGCTGAAGGTGACCACAGCTTTGTTGGATTCCAGGATCCTCTCCATGCTGTAGCCGTTCTCATCCAACCCAGAGATGTTCTCCACCAGCATGGAGAGCAGATCAGTGGACATGTTGTCTGTGACGTTTTCCAAAACCACCGCACAGCTCTGAGACGACTCTGAGTCTGAGAGAAACACACAAACCTGATCAAAGAAAGTGTCTGTGAGCAGTGAGGGAAGGAGGCTTTTGTTCACCTGTTATTGCCAGGATGTTGGATCATATGACCCAGTGTATGGAGTTTTCTTTTATTTTGATGTTTCTGGTTTATGTTTAAGCTCATTTCTATTTTGCCTAGGCTGCCATGATAGTGTAATGTTTATTAGATCCCCCTAGTGTTTTCGTCCCTGTGTTTTAGTCTCCTTTGCCCTTCATGTATATCAGTAATGTCTTTGTCTCACATCTCCTCCTCTTGTTTGCATGTTTTCTCCTTGTGACCCATTCCTTCTGTCACGTGTGCTTCTCCCCAACCATCATGTTTCTGTTTGTGCTCAGTTATGTCCGTGTCTCATCTCAAGTTCCCTTTTCCTTCTGTATGTATTTATAGTGTGCGTGTTCTCGTCGGTTTATCATGTTAGATTAGTGTCCATAAGTGCACGTGACACTAGGACGCTCTAGATCGCAGGTTGATGATCGATTTTGTAATCATATCACCAGACCTGCGACCATATGTTCGGGACACTCAGGTAAAGAGAGGGGCTGAGCTGTCAACTGATCACCACCTGGTGCACCTAAACGTATAATGGGAGTGCGCTGGGAACGTCTAGCAGAGGCCCCAGTCTGCGAGATTTGCTACGCACACCTCCAGCAGAGCTTTAACAGCATTCCGAGGGAGACTGGGGACATTGAGTCCGAATGGACCATGTTGAGCACCTCCATTGCCGAAGCTGCTGCACTGAGCTGCGGCCGCAAGGTGATGGTGGACACCAGAGGTGAAGGGAGCCACCAGACTGAAGGAGGAGTCCTATCGGGCTTGGTTAGCCTGTGGGACTCCGGAGGCAGCCGACAGGTATCGACAGGCCAAGCAGAATGCGGATCGGGCAGTGGCTGAAGCAAAAACTCTGGTGTGGGAGGAGTTCGGAGAGGCCATGGAAAAAGACTTTCAGACTGCCTCAAAGAGATTCTGGAAAAACCATCAGGTGACTCAGGAGGGGAAAGCAATGTTCTACCTGTACAGTGTATAGTGCTGGCGGAGCGCTGCTGACTTCGACAGAGAAAATTGTCAGGCGGTGGAAGGAATACTTTGAGGACCTCCATAATCCCACTGACATGTCTTCTGAGGAGGAAGCAGAGTCTGGGGGTGAGGGGAATGACCCGCCAATTTCCGGGGGCGAGGTCACTGAGGCAGTTTGTGAAATGCACCTGATACACGTACACGCACACACAGTTCTTTACTGCCAGAAGCCAAGTTTATTTTTAGTTTTCGTTTGTAGTGATAGTCTGTAGTCTTGACAGCTCCGGCCTCAGCTGATCACAGCTTCACCTCCACTCCTCTCCCGTCTCACTAAAAAGGGAAAGGAATCACTCCAAACGCCATCAGCTGTTCTCACCTGCCTCTCCAGCACCGCCCCGTTGAGCTCACTGCATCATTCCTCCCCTGCACCCGCGGGTGGGACCACACCTACGCCACACAGTTAAACAACTCCTTGGTGGTAGAGCCCATGGTGTGGATGAGGTCCGCCCCGAGTTCCTGAAGGCTCTGGACGTTGTAGGGCTGTCTTGGTTGACACACCTCTGCAATATTGCGTGGAGATCAGGGGCAGTACCTGTGGACTGGCAGACCGGTGTGGTGGTCCCCATCTTTAAGAAGGGGAACCGGAGGGTGTGTTCCAACTACAGGGGGATCACACTCCTCAGCCTCCTTGGGAAAGTCTATGCCAGGGTGCTGGAAAGGAGAGTTCGTCCGCTAGTTGAACCTCAGATACAGGAGGAACAACGCGGTTTTCATCCTGGTCGCGGAACACTGGACCAGCTCTTTATCCTCTCGCGGATGCTTGAGGGTGCATGGGAGTTTGCTCAACCAGTCTACATGTGTTTTGTGGACTTGGAAGGCATTCGACCGTGTCCCTCGGGGTGTCCTGTGGGAGGTGCTGCCGGAGTATAGGGTGTTTGGCCCATTGCTACGGGACATTCGATCCCTATACAACCGTTGTAAGAGCTTGGTTCGCATTGCCGGCAATAAGTCGGACTTGTTCCCGGTGGGTGATGAGCTCCACCAGGGCTGCCCTTTGTCACCGGTTCTGTTCATAACTTTTATGGACAGGATTTCCAGGTGCAGCCCATTGTCGGAGGGCTTTCACTTAGGTGTCCTCAGAATCTCATTTCTGCTTTTCACGAATGATGCGGTTCTGTTGGCGTCATCGGGTGATGGCCTCCAGCTTGCACTGGAACGGTTCGCAGCCAGTGTGAAGCAGCAGGAATGAGGATCAGCATCTCCACATCTGAGGCCATGGTCCTCAGTCGGAAAAGGGTGGAGTACCCACTCCGGGTCGGGGATGAGTTCCTGCCCCAAGTGGAGGAGTTCAAGTATCTCTGGGTCTTGTTCACGAGTGATAGAAGAAGGAAGCCGGAGATCGACAGACGGATTTGTGCTGCAGCTGCTGTGATGCGGACGTTGCACTGGTCCATTGTGGTGACAAGAGAGCTGAGCGTAAAAGCGAAGCTCTCAATTTACTGGTCGATCTACGTCCCTATCCTCATTCTTTCGGTCACTACCAACAATGAGATTGTGGATACAACCGGTGGAAATGAGCTTCCTCTGAAGGGTGGCTGGCCTCTCCCTTAGAGATGGGGAGAGAAGTTCAGCCATCCGGGAGGAGCTCAGAGTAGAGCCGCTGCTCCACATTGAAAGGAGCCAATGGAGGTGGTTCAGGCATCTGACAAGGATGCCTCCTGGACGCCTCCTGGGTGAGGTGTTCCGGGCATGTCCCACCCAGAGGAGGCCCCGGGACAGACCCAGGACACGCTGGAGGGATTATATCTCTCAGCTGGCCTGGGCTTCTCTGCTGAGGCTGCTGCCCCCACGACCCAGTCCCAGATAAAGAGGAAGAAAATGGATGGATGGAGTCTGGTGTTTCCATGTTCAATGTGATTAGTTTCACTTTCTCTGTGGCGTCTTGTTCATTCATATCAGCTTTTTCCCCGTGTGTTCCCACTTCCTCTGATCACCTCCGTTTTGTATTTACTCTTTGAGTTTCCATTCCTTCCTTGTCTGTTCATTCTCTTTATATCATGCAATGTTTCCAAGTCCATGAATTCATGCCAAGTCTTCTTGTTTCAGGTTTTCTACATTTATGTTCTTGTTCTTGTTTTTTTGTTTTTGTTTTTTGTTTAGCTCACCCAGTTTAGTTTACAACTTTGTTTCCCATTTTGCCCTTAGTTTTTGTACTGTTTTACTAGCCTTCAATAAACGGCTCGCACTTAGTTAAAATCAAGTTTGATTTTCCTGTGTCCCCACTTGGGTCCACCTCTTCACTCCATACAGTCAGTTTCTGCAGATTGTGACAGTTATTCCTAAAACTTTACTTTCAGCAGCATTTCTCTTTCTTTAAACGGGATGGGCCCAACGGGAAAAAGTTTAAATCCTTCATCAGAAATAAAATGTGCTCCTTAAAAGCTACATTAAGATAAGTAAAGGAGGAAGTCATCTAAAGCAGAGCTGCTGACGACTTCAATAAACATCAGACAGGAGGATGCACTCCATCAGTGCAAAATCCCCATTCTGCAGCTGCCCTCATCAACAAGGCCTGACAAATACAGATACATTTGGCACCTCAGGTGGAGGTAAGATTCATCTAGAAAAAAATCATCGAAACTTACAGCCTTCAAAAACAACAACAACAGACACGTTTGGATTTTAGATTTCCTTACCAAGTACAGGTTAGAAATACAGCTTTTGGATGTAAACAGAGTGCTTTCCCCTGGTGCTGACCCTTGCTCACCTCCCTGAGTCTGGTTCTGCTGAAGATTTCTTCCTTTAAATGTAGCCACTGTAGCCAAGACTCATGGGGTAAGATTGTTGGAGTTTTCTGTTTTCTTTCTAATATTTTAGGGTCTTTATCTTGTCATTTAAAGCACTTTGAGGCAACTACCGTAAATGTCGGGCTATAAGCCGCTACTTTTTGCACAAGCTTTGAACCCTGCGGCTTTTAGTCAGGTGCGGCTTTTCTATGGATTGTCCGTGATTTTTGTCATATCGTAAGACGATTTGTTTTGTTTGTTCCGCTGTTGTACGGCACTACGTTGCCTGGCGGAAGGATCGGGGTTCAAGAGTGGTATGTTAGTCACATGTCCGTCCGCCAGGCAACGTAGTGCCGTACAAGTAGCGCGAAAAACAAACTTCAAAGTAGCGCTACGCGTTCAGCGGGAGTCGTGGATGATGAGCGGCGATAAACTTGCAAGTTATGCCCAAAAAGCAAGTTATGTCCAACTCCACCGGTGGATTCTGACAGCGTGGAAAAGTGTGAAAACATCCACGATCACCAACGGATTTTGAAGGGCTGGACTGCTGCATGATGGAGAGGA